CTTGAAAGGGAGCTGCATCAGCTTGGTGAAAAAACTCGGCAGTTTTCACCACGCGGTCGTCGAGTACCTGCGCGGCGAACTTCTCTGCAACCTCCTTGTGCGATCCAGCAGCCCACACCTTCACTCGTCACTGACAACCATCTGCGTAAGGGTGGGGCGAAGCTGACAGAGACGGGAGATAGCAATGTATTGGGTCCCAAAGCGGGTCCCCGCGGGTTTCAATGGCTTGCAACACCTTCCCCTCCACCAACTTACGGTCCGGCAAGTAACCGCGTGTCCAATGGTGGTTGCGGGTGAAGGAGCTCATCTCACCGCCACGGTCAACCACCTTTTTTGCCCACCCCATTTTTCCCACGTCCTCCATCATTAGGTCCATGACGTGGGTGGCACATGGAACCTGTTGAATGTGGGGCCACATCTTAATCAGCTTCCGGCACGCTGACGCGTAGTTGGAACCCCCGTCCATACAGAACGCGACGACGTTCTCGGGTCCGACTTCCTCCACGACGGGTTTCAGTATCCCCGCGATGTACCCCCCTGTTTTCTTCTCCATGTTGCAGTCCACACACTCCTTCAGGACAGCGCCCGCGTCGTTGAGGAGGAGGACATTCGCCTGCGGCCTGCCACACTTGTCTGTCATCATGTCGGACGCGATGGTAACACCTGTCTTCTTCCAGCTGGCCTTGATCCCCATCAAGCCGTTCTCAATACCCTTGCGGCAAGCGAGCAGTCCGGCACCTCCGATGTACTTGCGACGTGGCGGAAGGTAGCCCTTCCCGACGCGGGCGACCAGGTGCATAGAGTTGACGAAGAGCGGATGTTCGACCAGGTTCTCCGGGAGGCGACATGCGGCAATCATGAGCGCAAGACCTTCATGTGCTTCACTTTTTGCCGCAGCAGCGTCGCCCTCGAGGTAGTCGGTCATGCGGGCCCGTTTGCCACCGGCTTTGACCGACGCTATAGCAGCCAACACCGCTCGCTGTTTCTCTTCTTTTCGCAGCAGCCTGCGCCTCGTACTTCTTGCGAATTTTGAGGCGAACATCCGCAGGTGCCTTCCCGCAAAGCGCCACCTCGCGGCGCTTCATCTTCTTCCATGAGCTAAGGTGCTGAGCGCATCGGATGGCGGCACGTGAAAAGACCTTGAAGCAGTACTTGCACTCGTACTGCTGTGCCTTGCCCTCTTCGCGCTTGATGATACTGAAGTGCTTGAAGACGTCGTGGACTACATCGGGAAGGTACTCCCTGGTCCCTTCTGGACGAGGGATAGAACTCTCCACAGACTGATCGGAATGCGGCGTGAGAGGCGGACTGCTGGATGACATCGCACTGAGGCTAGTTGTTGGTAGCGGGAGAGGATTACTGAATGGGATGGACGTTCTGACGAGTTGATAAATAGCATGACGAGTGGCGGGGGATTGGGTCGGAAGGTTGGACTGAATGAATGTTGTGGGTTTGAATGCGGTAACGTGTTGGGATAGAAATGTTCAAACATGCACATGCGACTCGATGTACGTGACCATCAATATGTCAACGTGCAACATGTGAAAGTGAAATCGCGACACCAGGACATGAATCCAATTTCCCGCAACCCTAGATCTCGGACGTGCAATCTGACGTCGCAGAATCACTTGCCGTGCCATTCCGCATCTTTTGGGTGTGTTTGAAAATTTTTGGGTCGGGCGGGCTGCCCCAAAAAAAATTTGGGTTGCGTATAGCGTATTCGCTAGCGTTTCGCGTATTGCGTATACACGCTAGCGTTCAAACGCTGAACGCTAAGGCCCCTAAGCGTATATTCCAACTTAGTTGTAGAGGAGGGCGGCATGGTAGAGGGCGTACCCCCAGAGAGAGAGTGGAGCGTTGGAGTGGGTGAGGAGGCACCTAGTGATCTGCACCAGGGTGTGGTTGCGGCTCTCTGCTATGCCGTTCTGCTGCGGGCTGTCAGGAAGGGTGAAGTTTTGCTGGATGCTTTCTCAGGAGCAGAAGGCTTTGAGCTTGTCGTTGCAAAATTCACCACCCCCATCCGAGTGAAGGCGATTGATCTTGCAGTCAAAGGTGGTCTGTGCCTGTTTGACCCACGCCATGATGACCTCTGGAGCCTCAGCCTTAGTGTGGATGAGGTGAATAGAGACGTAGCGGGAGTGGTCATCATCGATAGCAAGGAAGTAGCGATGGTCACCTCGTGCGGGAACCGGGCAGGGCCCCAGACGTCCATATGCACTAGCTCCAGTGGTGCTGCTGCGACTGTGGGTGAGGCAGGATGGGGCTGTTGGCGCAGTTTGCTCTTGATGCAGTCAAGGCACATGGGAGCGGGTGATTCAGGTGGTGGAGGAAGTGAGGCTGGCAGGCGAGAGAAGAAGTTTCTTGGAAGCCATGTCAGCAAGCATGCGTAAGTTTGGGTGCCCGAGCCGATGGTGGTAGAGGATGGTCGGGTTGGAGAAGCTGCGACATGAGCATGGTGTGATAGTAGCTTGTGCTTGGGTGGTTGACACCTGTGGATAGGTATGCGCAGCGTGTAGAGGCCGCTGATTTTGAGGGTGAAGCGAGCCAGGACCTTGTTGGTGAGTGGATATATGATGTCACAATAGTCCTTGTTCTCCGTTAACCCTGCTTCCTGAATTTCCGTTTGAGCCACTAAATTGTGGCATAGTGAAGGCACGCACATGCCAGTGACAGTGCCGGATGGGAAGGCGGGGCACGGGACTGTGGATGTACCCTCGGCAAGAATTGTGAAGCTTGAATCAGCTCCGAGGAGAAAGATGTGGGTGTTGCGTAGGTTTGAAGGACAGTGTCTCCTTGAGCACAGTGTGAGTGGTCCCACTGTCGAGTGTGAATTCTATGTATTGTGGTGCTTTTGACGAGCCGATGTATTGGGAGGTTGCTTCATTGATCATGGCAGTGCCAGGGAACAACAGGTTGATACGCACATCAGCAAGAGCACTATCACTAGCACTAGCCGAAGCGAAGTCCTGGACCTCAACGAGGTTGGCCTTACGAGGACGCATCCAGTTTGGTGGTTTCTTGTCTACTCCGTGGATGGCATAACATTCGTCGTCTTTCTTCTCGAAGCACATAGCAAAGGGGTGGTTAGTGCCACCACACACTTGTCCCTTGCGGTTGCCATAATTGACGACGTAGCTGTACAGAGGGAAGCGGTTGTGCTGGAAGGGTGCCAAGGCAACACTTGCTTGAGGCACAGAAGCACGGATGGCGTAAGCCTTGGCTTGAGCCGTGGAGTCTTTCTTGGCAGAGAGGAGTGCGGTGGAGACCTTAGCAAAAGTGAGGTATTCCGCTGAGAGCGTGAAGAGCATCTTCCTCGTGACTTCATATGCCGAAGTGAGACCAACAAGAAGGGCGGCTGCAGGGGCTTGTTCAGGGAAGACTATACCCAGCTCCTCGAGTTCGCCATGAATGGTCTGCACCTTGGCAATGTAGTCGGCCATTCCCGAGCACTCCTCAAGGCGGACCTGAAACATGTCTGGGGATGAGAATGGCAACTCCGACCGCCGTCTTGTTCATGAATCGATCCTTGAGATATACTTCCAGATGGTGTTGGAGGTAGGGTAGTTGTGGAACGTGTTGACAAGTTCGGGAGGGGTGGAGGCGATGAAGACGCTGATGATAGCTGCATCGGCCTTCTCCCATTTTCCGGTACTTCTCAACAGCTTCCTCGTACGCCGTCGTGTCAGCATCACTAGCAGATTCGATCAGCTCACGGGGGAGAAGGGGTGTTTTCCCTAGCCACGGTTGAGGAGGACGTCCTTGAGGTCCAATCTCTGCACGTCACCACTAAGGAGGTGCTTGTCAACCCCGTAGCTCCATGCGTTGAAGTTGGAGCTAGAGCCATCGGCTGCGGCGGTCGGCGGGGCGGGAGGGGGTTGGCAATGGTGGTGAGGGCCCCTTAATGTCTCGCGAGCGCCGCTCTTAAGTCACCGATTGGAACTTTGACGGTTCCGGAGAGCAAAAATCGTCAATGTCGGCCGCGTCGGGATGTCTCGTAGAAGGGTTTTGAAGGCCGCCAAAATTAGGTTAAATCGGCCGATTTCTGTGCAACTAACTCTATTCCCACAGACCCCCCACACACACCCCAGCTTCGCGGCTACATGGCTGCTCGGCTTCGCGGCTACACGGCTGCTCGGCTTCGCGGCTACACGGCTGCTCGGCTTTGCGGCTACTCTGCTGATCGGCTGCGCTGGCACCTGTTCAGCTGCGGGAAGGGGAGGGGAAAGGGGGTAGAAGTGCTGGTGCGGGGCGAGGGGCGGCAGCTCAAAGGTGACGCAGCGGGGCGACGGGCGGCGGCCCGACGAGAAGTTGCGGGGCGACGGGCGGCGGCCCGACGAGAAGTTGCGGAGCGACGGGCGGCGGCCCGACAAGAAGCTGCGGTGCGACGGGCGGCGGCCCGACGAGAAGAACTTGTGCGAAGATGTTCGACGAGAAATAAAGAACACACGAATGGTTAAAGCGCCAGCGATGCGCTTACCGCAGGGGGTGTAGAGGTCGTCGAGAATGAAGGGGGAAAGTGACGCGGGAGAATTTTCGGCCACGAATGTCGCGAATCACCGGCGACGGGATTGAGGACGTCTACGACGGCGTTTGCGGGATGAGCATCCGCCGAAAGAATATGATCACGATTCGCATGTGCGGTTGAAGTGCTCTGATACCATTTCACAACTTAGGCGTAGAACTGATACATTAGTAATGAGCTTGAAGCTCTTTAAGTACATCCAAGATGGGGAAGGGAATCGTGGGCAATCCCTAGGGAATGAGGGTAATCCCAAGGCCATCTCCAATTCGTGGGTTGAAGATTGCTTGGAGATTGCTTGGAGATTACATTTGGTTTGGTTGGGATGTAGGTGTATTCCCAACCAAACACAAAGTGCAAACTACACTACTCTAGGAAATAGAAAATATAAAGTACAAAGTGTGAGATCGAGGGCTAACACTAACACTCTAGCCTACCCCTTAGGTGCTCTCGCCTACCCCTCAGGTGCTCTCGCCTACCCCTTGGGTGCTCTCGCCTACCCCTCGGGTGCTCTCGCCTACCCCTCGGGTGCTCTCGCCTACCCCTCAGGTGCTCTCGCCTACCCCTCAGGTGCTCTCGCCTACCCCTCAGGTGCTCTCGCCTACCCCTCAGGTGCTCTCGCCTACCCTCAGGTGCTCTCGCCTACCCCTCGGGTGCTCTCGCCTACCCCTCGGGTGCTCTCGCCTACCCCTCGGGTGCTCTCGCCTACCCCTCAGGTGCTCTCGCCTACCCCTCAGGTGCTCTCGCCTACCCCTCGGGTGCTCCGACTATCGTTGCCAACCGTCTTGTTGCTTATCATTGTCTTTCACGGGCTCTCGTGTGCCCTCCTTGCTGCGCCCATGTGCAGCTGTGCAGGTGGTGCAGCACCTGCGATTGCTGGGCGAGACAGACTGCACTCTGCACCACTCCCAGGTGCGAGCACAGGCAGGTGCGAGCACAGGCAGGTGAGATCACACCATGGTTCCGCGCTCCTGTGCACCTTGTTTGTTCTCTGCCACTCATATCCGGTGTAATGGGCTTTGGTGGCTGCAGTGGTGCTCTTGCCACAGCTGTGAGGACGTCTCTCTAAATGCTACCAACTGTGAGTGTGTGGACGAGACAACGAACATGAAAAGGATAAACAATAGTTGCAATACGATTCAAATTTCATTGCCTGCGTGCACGCTCACACTTCATTGCCTGCTTCATCCTCTCACTTGGCTTCCCTTGCCCACCCTCCACTCCATTCTCACCTTTCCCTACGTTTCGTGCCCCTTGCAAACCTCCTTCAACTCCTCCCTCCCTCTTCAGCATCTCCTCCCATCTGTCACTCACTCGCCTTTCGCACTCACTGGTCCCCCTTCCCTGCGAACTCCTCTCGCTTCCCACATACTACTCCCCCTTCCCTCATTCACTCCACGCATTCTCTCACTCTCCACTCATTGCCCCCCACCCGTCCGCTCAGCCGTTGCCCGTGACACGGCGCTGGCAGCAGCAGCCATCTACGCGCACATGTTCCCCCGCCTGCCCTCCTCCGCACACGCTCATTCACCACCAGACCTTGCTCCTGGTGTAGAGGCGAGGGGGGACGAACAACAAGGGAGGGATGAAGATGGGGTTGTTGCAACATTTCAGGTTCTCTGGTTCCTCACGCCTTGTCATTTCATCAGCCATGCCACAACAACTCAACCCTTTGGCTTCGTTTTCAATGCAGCTGTTCATTCAGAATTCTCAACATGCCCATCTCTCCCCTCCCACATGCACTCTCCCCCAACCCCACTCTCCTTTCAGAGCTTACCTGCCTTCCTGCGAGGTGATTCTTCAATGCTCAAGTATTCCAACCTCCACCCCCCCACCCCCTCCCCCCCACACTACGTGCAGGTCATCTTCATGGCGGGCTGGGCGCCGCACGAGTCGCAGCAGAGGGCTCGCCCTCGTGGATCCGCGGCCGTGTCTCTGCACGCCCTGCACCACTCCCTGCCGGCCTACCCGTGACACCGCATCACCCGCTACTGCCCTCCCACCACACCGCACCACCGCACTTCTCATGCAGCGAACTTGCCATACTGTACGAAGCATAATGATTGTTGACAGCAGAAGCAGTGTAAACCAACATTCTATTACCGTACGCATGTTCAGAGGATTAACCAACCAAAAAGGTTTGTTTTTCAACAACCTTGCTTCCCCATATTCAAAAGTCAGCAACAGGTTGTCTCGGTTCCAGTCTCCATAAGTCAGCATTTTAACGCTAAGTTGGACAGGAAAAACTGTAATTCTCATACAATACATTTTTCATATGTACACTAATCAATCAGCTTTTAACAACAATGTACGGTGCTGTCCCCCCTTGGAGGACATTTTGTCTGTCAGAATCAAGCGAGCAAGAATGAATGAACTATGATCAAGTGTACTAACCTTAATGGGTTATACCACCCTTGTAGGCTATCCCAATAAAGCTAAGAGATAACACACAAACATACAGTTTTGACACATCCCCATCGGCTAAGTGGGGGATAGCAAACACAACAGACGGTCACAAGATCTGTCAATCAAAGGAACAAAGCAAAGCAAAGCTCAAGGTGGATCCACCCACACAGCAAAGAACAAGGCTTGGAGCAGTGCCAAAAACGTTGATGGTCCTTCAACACAAGTGCATTGGTGAAAATATTAGCAGTTTTGGCCCGTGAGGCCACGTAGGTAGGGCGGAGCTGACCACGCTGCTGTAACTATCGAGCGAGGAAATAACGAAGAGCAATGTGCTTCGTTATGTGCTCCAGTCTTTGCTCCCGACACAAGGCAATACCGTATTACCCCGGACATAACACCCGCCGAATAGAGCACCCCCCGGGTGGCTTGTGCGGGGGGGGTGCTATAGCGGGCCTCATTTCTACTATACCCCCCTTTTGGGGCGATCTGATATAGCACCCGGGGGGGTGGGTGTTATGTACGGGTAATATTGCAGTTTTTGCAAATATATACTGTGGTTGACGGCGAACGTGCACTGTACTTTGGGTGGCACATTGTGGGCGATATTCGTGGCTGTGTGGTGCCAAGTCACACTGACGTGTACTTTCGCATACACTTGTCCAGATTTTATGGCAGGCGAACTTCAGAAGAACCGTGATCTGACCCAACAGTTTGTGTGACTTCAGTACAGTAAAATCACGACTGCCAGCTTGGTTGTGTGTTCTGTTTGATTTCGACCGGCCAGGGAAGTGAGGCGTGGGAGGGAAATGGGAGAAATTTGCGTGATTGGCTGCAACACTGATTTCTTGCTCTGAACCCTGACAACTCTGAGTAAGTCGTTGTTGGACACTGACCAATCAGAGTAGCAAACCTACGAAATATGTGCCCTCATAATCCAGGGAGAATTGTTTTCCCGAAATCAGGGGGGCCCGAAATGAAACGTCAGCCCTGGGGGGTGTGTTCTTCTTTCCAATCAGGGCCTGACTGTGGGCCTTGTTGGAGCTTGCAATGTGGCAGCTAACCCACGAGACTAACGTTATCGCCCAGTCCTCGGTTTTGCGCACCCAACCAACAATCTACCACCGCATCAAACATGTACATTTTGCTCTCAACCTTTTGTGCTCTAAAAAAAATATACATTATGTAACGACCCGGGTGCAATGTAGCTTTTTCCGATGACAAGACCCCCCCCCCCCCCCCCCCCCCCTTTTTTTGTGTAGTTATCATAGCACCCTAGGGTGGTATGTCCGGGGTAATACGGTAGTGGCTTTCTTGTCAACGTACAGAACCGGAGGAGAACGAGGCCACACACCCAAGTCTGTCAGCAGGTAGGTCAGCCAGTGTAACTCTTGAGGAGTCATGACTCCAGAGTAGATCTCGGCCTCACAATTGGACCTCAGTACTGAAGACGAGCGGGTCAACCTCCAGGAGACAGAGCCAGTGTCGAGACTGGAAGTGTAACCCTTTGAAGAACGCTGAGTCGTCGACCCAAAAAGCGTCTGAGTGTCCAGCGAGTACAACTGAGCCCCGAACTCCAAGCACAAGCCCATGCCTGATGTATTGTACAAGTAACGCATCACCCCTCTTAGCGGCCCGCCAGTGCTGTGGTCCATGTCTCCTAGGCGCAATGTAGCGTGCCAGGATGCTAAGAGGGTACGCGAGGTCAGGTCGAGGGCAAGTCACCAGGTATACGAGGCAGAACACAAGCTCTAAATACTTACCACTCGGCTATGCGGACTCGTCCGAAGGTGGAGCTGTGCGCGAGTGGCCAGTAGGCAGAGGAGTGGCCTGTGGTGAGGAGAACTGGGAGCTGAAGCGCTGAAGAACCTGGTGCACCATGTGTGACCGAGTCAGAGTGATGATGCGCCGTGCTTTGTCCCGGGTGATCTGCAAGCCAACATAGCTGCGCAGCTCATCAAGACCAGTGCAAGTGTGTCTCTTCTGCAGCTCTGCGTTCACAAGGGCCAATGCCTCAGTGCCAGCAGTAGCTACGACCAAGTCGTCAACGTATATGAGGATGTAGAACGGCGGCAGAGAAGGGCCGGTGCACAGATTCAGCGACGGGTCAGCAGTCGAAGGAGCAAACCAAAGAGCCGCAAGTGTAGTCCTCAGTTTGTCGTGCCACTCGCAGGGCGCCTGACGGAGACCATAGACTGGTGGCCAAAGGCTCCACTTGGTACCATCAGGAAACGACCCAGTGAAGCCAGGTGGGCAGCGTAGCTGGATCTCCTCGTGAAGGTTGCCTCGCAAGAAAGCTGTGCGGAAGTCAAGCGAGTGGAGCTCGTAGTCACGCTGCGCTGCAACGTGCAGTAACACCCGAAGAGTGGTCATCTTCGGGTGGGGGAGAATGTGTAGAAGATGTCGACAGCCCCACCCCCCCCCCCCCCCCCCCGCGCTCACTTACGTCTCGTGCAACGTAACATGCTTTGAAGGCAGGCGGAGAACCCGACGGCCGCTTCACTCTGAAAATCCACATGTCATCGACTATGTTCGCCCCACGAGGGGGAACTGCGTCGACGTAAGTGCCTGTGGACTTCCAGAAAGCCATCTCTTCATCTTTAGCTATCTGCCACTTAGAGGAGTACTCACCCGTGATCGCCCCAGCGTAAGAGCGGGGGGTCGGGATGTCTAGTGCATCCGGGTCTCCCTCACGACAAAGCAGCATGGAAGCAAAATGAGGTACAGCAGCCATGAGGCATTCAAGCTCAAACTCACTCAAAAACGTCACTGCCAAAGGCAAGCTCACCCCTTGAATATTCAGACTCAGACTCAGTAACAAGACGCGCGAAGTAGTCTAAGCGACAGATAGCAGCAAAGTCACGAGCTCAGTGACTAAGGCAGGTGCAACAGTAGACTCAATGGAAGGGTTAGTAACAAGGGTGGCCTGGAAGTGCGTGACACGGACTAGCAGCACGAGCAAGGTCAGACTCATGGTCAGGAACGTCAGGAAGAGAGGACGGTGGAGGAGACGACAGGGCAACACGCAGTGGAACAGAGGAGGGACGAAGTGCCATAGTGTGTGCCGGGGACCGGTGGAAGACGAACACGACGAGCAAGACTAACAGTGCGAAGGCGATGGCAGGACGAGACGCAGGCTCACGACGCTCTGACAGGGAGTCTATCTGCGCAGAGTAAGGAGAAGGAGCAGACAGAGGGGAGTGAGGCAGTAACGGCGCCTATGACTGGTCAGGCAAAGGACAAGTAGAGGTGGAGTAAGGCCAGTGGAAGACGGTAGACTAAGAACCTGGCGAAACGCCGATTCAGGTGGTTGCAGTGACGACTGCGGCTGTGGGAAGAAAAATGGTCGCCGGTGCAGAGTACCCACAGTACCAGAGCCTCCAGCTCCAGTACCTCCAGCACGAGAACCTCCAGCAGCTCCAACACCTCCAGCACCTCCAGCTCCAATACCTCCAGTACCTCCAGCTCCAGCACCTCCAATACTTGCAGCTCCAGTACCTACAGCTCCAGAACCTCCAGCACCAGCACCTTTAGTACCTCTAGCACCTCCAGCTCCAGTGCCTCCAATACCTCCAGCTCTGGCACCTCAAGTACCTCCAGCACCTCTAGCTCACCACTCTCAGCAGCACCGGAGTCCACAACGACGAACTGCAGAGGCGGGAAGCGGAAAACATGGAGAGGTCTCCAAGCGCGGTGAGCGGCAAGTGGCCCAGTCACCCCCCTCAGCTGGGCCAGAGGTGCTAGAGGAGATCTCCAAAGGCTCAACCAAGGGAGGTGGGTCGAGCAGAGACACATCTGAGGGAGCAGGACCCTTTGGGGGAAGAGAGTCTACCAGGGGGGGGGGGACCTGAGACCAGGAAGAGATGCGAGGGAGGGGACGGGGGAATTGATGTGGAGGTGGAGGGCGGTAGCAGCAAACCGACTCGTCAAAGGTGACGTCCTAAGAGGACAGGACACTGCGCGTGGCAGGGTGGTAAAACTGCCAGGGCGGGGGCGTCGGTGGGGAAGCTAAGGAGGACGCAGCGGAGAGTGCGAGGAGGAGAGCTTGCCCGCGGTAGGATCGCGGACAAGGGCAAGCGGGCCACAGACCCGAAACTCCAACGCGTCGCCAACCTCCCCCGTCCAGCGCAGTGTAGGCGAGGTCTCTGGCATAGAGACATGGGGCTTGAGGTTGAGCTGATGCTTGGCGTATTGGACCGCAAACGACTACAGAAGATGGGGAGCAACCGCATGGCTCATGGAGGTGCGAGCAGCCTCCATGATCAAGCCAATGTGATGCTCAGCAATCCCAGTTTGCTTTGGAGAGGCCGGAAGCGTGAACGGCGATGCCCTCCTCACGACAAAACTCACTGCCTCTGCCAAAGTGTAGTCGCAGGACTTGAAGGTCTTGCTGAAACCGTGCGCTCAGCTGGCGACGAATAGTGCCGATCCAGGAGATCAAAACATGGCGGACATCCACCTTGCCGTCCTAGCTCACTTGCCGGTCGACCAGAGAGACCACTTTTGTCAGGTGACGTTGGCCCGAGCTTTGTACGACGCTGTGGTTAGACACTACTGTGCGACATCGTCTC